CCATAGCAAGCAATTAATGTTGAGAACATTAATATCAAATCGTCCAGGTTTTTTGGATTTTTAACTAGTTGAGAAACAGGTAAACATCTTATCAGGTAAGAATTTGACGATACGTTTAGTCCCGTTAGTTCTTACCTTTAATGTAAAAAAAATGGCAACAATTTTACCAATTTTACCATAGAAAATTCGTGACGTAGTCAATTTAGGGTAGCAGGTGTCATGCTCTTCAGTAAAAAACTGCATACATATACATTAGTTCATGCTACTAGCAGTAATACTAGTATTAGTACTATCGCTGATAGGGTCTATGTCTCCCTGGGTACTGCTGGAAAGTACCCTGGGTACGGTCCGGTATACCGGAACGTACCCTGGTAACTATCTGATATGGTTAGGGTTAGGGTTACTGGTTAGGGAGTAGGCGTAGGCGACTCCCTAGACTCGTTAGTGGAGTAGGTGAGGTACGGTCCGGCATATTAGATAGTACCAGGGTACGTTCCGGCAGTACCCAGGGAGACATAGACCCTATCAGCAGTACTATCACTAGCATTAGTACATGATGTACCACAATGACATACAGGATACTATACCACACCAGGGTAAAAAATACACGGGAGTGATGAGCGATTCGCTCTTCAAACCTCCGAAATCGCTCACGTGAGGCTCAAAATAGCTCCCGTAAAAATTTTGACGAGACGTATTTTCTCCACAGACTTGAAAAAGAGCTCCCGTGAAAAAAAAGTAATTTTTCCCCTGTACCACACCTCTCTACATGTGCCACAAAACCCAAATAATAATCTGTACTGAGATCTCCTACCACATGTACATGCATACAGCATTAATTTTATGCTACATGAATCGAGGTAGCTGCTCTGCACGCAGCTGCTGCTGTGGTGTTCCTATAGCTCGAGCTTTTCCCAATGTTCTTCTCCCTTCTCCATGACCTTTAATATCTAGCTTCTCTCCCTCTGTTCCTATTTTGGCACCAATCCCATTCATCCACTTCTCCCTTTCCTTTCACCATGCACATCGAACATAGTTCCCCCTCCAGCCTCTCTTTCTATATTCTCATCTTAACCTCTCTCCCTTTCTCATCTGCCTTCTATGTCCCCCCTGCCTCATTCATCTTCTTCATCCTACCCTCCATATCCACCTTCTCCGTCCTCCCTTCCTCACACACCTTCTACTACATACCACCTTCCTCAACCACCTTCTCTGTCGTTCCTTCTTTATCCCATATACATTGATTCACCGATACAAGGATGAGATTGGAGAATTTCATTTTCAGCTGAAATTTAGGGGGTCCGGGGGCATGCTCCCCGGAATTTTTTTAAAAGAATGGTGCAATTTGGTGCATTCTAAGCTATTCTGAACACATTATAGGACTCTTGAATCATTTTTTAAAGTTGTCAAAAGGAACAAACGAACTATGAATAGGAAATCAGGGGGCTGAAAATAGGGCAAGTTTTTTTATTAAATGTCTAGACATAATGATATTTTTCTGTTTCCACCCGTCGCTTGCACTGTTTTACTCAGACATAAGCTGCCTTGCTGCGACAAGATTTGAATGAAAAAAACACAGTGCATGCACACAGCAACATGTAAACCCAGCCCCCAGGCCAGGCATGGTCGTTACGTGATCAGCTACCTCAAATGGGTGCCCCTCTACTGCAGCCTGTGAACGAGGATTTTCTTTTCTGGTACACAAAAACAGATATGTACACCGTATACTTTGCTGTCAGTCTACTGTCTACAATCTACAGTATACAGTCAGGTGCTGTTGAGGGTATATAATTTAAATTTTTACATTGTTACCCCCCCCCCCATTTTCTCAACGAATTTAGACGGTCCACAAAATCGACCCCTGGGACTGTCAAATCCGCGAATTTCTGCGGATCCGCGGAAAGATCTCATCCCTGCAGATACATACACCCTATTGATCGGTCCACCCTTCCTCATTCACTTTCTTGATCCTCTCTTCCCTATACATCTACCTTCTCCGTCCGCCCTTGCTCGTTCCCTTTTTCGATCCGTCCTCCATTCCTCATTCACATTCTCGATGCAACCATATATATCTTCTCCATCCACCCTTCCTTGTTTCCCCTCTCCACCCTCCCTCTTCAATTGATCGGCTCAATCCTCTGATCCATTGAACCTTCCCCATCCGTTATATTTTCGCCCTTCATAACAGTACCCTTTCCAGGCTACTCTCGTATGAAAAACTAGGGGTGGACACCGTATCGACTGTAGATATAGAGTCAGTGGAGAGTGAACTACGTATCATATACTGAATTACGAATAATGTAGTACGCACCCCATTAGGGCTGGCTATAGTACTAGAGCTACGTCTCAGCACAGGCCCTTGGAGGCTCAAGTTTCAAGAAGAGTGTAAGAGAGTAAGAGTGAAGCGGCTTCGCTCTTATAAGTAACTGGCAACTTAAGTTATACTAGCTCTTCTTAAAACTTGAGCCTCCAACTCACAGGCACTTCTCCAACTCCAAGGGCCTGTAGCACTAATGTGTGACATAAGCGTACCTCCGGCAACCGCTCCAGTAAAGATTAATTTCCTTCTATGCCGTTTAGTAAAATCCCAAACTTTTTGTAATGCAAACATTTTTAGTTTTGTCGCATAATATTTCCAGCTTTCACCGTTGTTGTCATGTTGCGGTAGACTGGTACTCGCTCCCACCTCGATTACTCGATGGTGTAATGACCCTAACCCTAACCCTAACCCTATAGCCGCCATAGGTGGACCGGGTACAGATTCTATGTTGCGGCGAGGACAAGAAACTGGGAAGTGGGGATATAGGGAAGCTAATTGAAGCCGATACTTACTGCGGACACAGGCGCCATATTTGTTTCATCGCAGCCGTCGCGATATATCAGAAGCCGGATAAAGGAGGTGTATGTGTGTGTGTGTGTGTGTGTGTGTGTGTGTGTGCTGCGTGCGTGCGTGGTGTGTGCGTGCGTGCATGGTGTGTGGACGAGAGAGAAAATGTAGAGAGAAGATATGAGAATGTAGTTGTGGGGATGCAGAAGGTGGCAGGTAGGACGTGGATGTCCAGGAGCAGGCGCGCAAATCATTTTCAAATGTGGGGGGGACACCAGTAGCGAGCACGCGAAGGGGGGTCTCGCTAGGCCGCCCCTCCCCCTACGAAAATTTTTGAAATTAGACCCCCTCAGATGCGTTTCTGCGCCGAGTATGGGGGGGTCCGAGCCCCTAGACCTCCCCCTGTACACGCCCCTGCACACACACACACACACACACACACACACACACACACACACAACACACGCACGCACGCACGCAACGCACGCACGCACGCACGGCACGCACGCACGCACGCGCGCGCACGACCACGACGCACGCACGCACGCACGCACGCACGCACGCACGCACACACACACAACACACACACACACACACACACACACACACACACACACCACACACATGCATTTGGTTTGTGATAACATTACGAAAAGGGTGTCCACATTCAGTCATAAAATCCAGAAACAAAAAGCAGAAAAACCAATCATTTGTGTTGAGGCGATCACAAAATATATTGCGTCCGTTATTATTGTTGCGTCCAGTCATATCATATATGCGTGTATATATATCATCAAATTGCAATGAAAATTACATTATTAAAACCGATGCCTCAGTTACTCAGTTCCTCTTTGCGTGAATATAGCTCGTGTTCCAAGCTTAATCCTTGAATCCGTGTCTAACGTGAGGCCATATCTCCTAAACTTTCATAAAACAACTTCTCTTGAGGATTCTGCATAAGAATTATTATATAAGAAAAAAACGTGTTAAGAAAAGAAACGGTACTAAATTTATCAAGACACATTTTCTTAAGTTTGTGCATGATCATTATTATGCTCTCAAATGCACTTAATAAAATGAAAGCTGGCAAAAAAGGAAAGAAGCCAATCGTTGACGCACTATCACACACAATAAAAAGGTATCTCACTTCGACAAACACACACACACACGCAACGCACACGCACTTACACACAAAATCATGGTGATCCAAATTCGTGGGGGGACATGTCCCCCTGTCCCCCCGTGGATTTGCGCCCCTGGCCAGGAGGCTGGGGAAGCAGATCATGAGGGGGATAAGGTGGAGAAGATATGTGCGTTTGAGAAGCACTATTAGTGAGCCCATACTCCGTAGTAGTTTGATATGAAGTGTTATCCCAATAACTTCGTTAATTACAAGGTGGCAAATATTCTAAATTATCAAAACGCCTTTCCAAACGCTTAGAAAACACCAACACTTGAAAAACACTTCAGCAAAAAGACACCAACACTAGACAGCTACTGTTCTCACAAAACAATGAAAAAGAAACAATAATGATAATCAGGTAACAGCTAAACATATTTATTGTTCATAGAAAACAAAGGACATTGAATACATACAAGCTTATATGAACCTTTAAACTCACATTTCCGAGGCACATGGTAATAATCAAGATGGACTCCGGCCGAAAGTTACTTCTAACGATATATAACATGAATTTTATATAATGCTTAATTTTGATCAAGGCAATGAAAAGCAGATAGCACGGCGGGGAACCAGCAACGGTAAGGAAATTAATGAGATGTCAACCACGATAGCTGTGAAAAGACAAGACCAGAGATAAAAAGCGTTGGGCACGGGAAAGGAAGTATACACGGGCGAAGCCAGCACCAGCATCTGCGGCAGACAGTAGAGATGTCCCAAGACGAAGACTGCTATTAAGTGAAGTTTTACAGCTTACAACATACTGTAGATACCTTTGGTATTAGTCACTCGGCAGTTTCATATGTTGCCGCTGTACATCCCAAGGAAGAAAAATCTATTTTTACATATTACTAGTTAATGAAAATATTATTTAACTCTTAAATATAACATTTTACAGTATTAATCAGGCCGGTGATCATGAACATGACCTTCCTGGGCATGGCAATTCTAGTGTTTTAATCGGCACGCACATAAGTGGTTCCAATGCTGTCCTCTCAAAGGCAATAACACGCCAACACGTTTTCGCATCACATCTTAGCGCATGTTAACTATCAATTGTCGATTTTTCCACCATTTCATGATAGTTGAAAACTGGAACCTGTCCAATCTGTATTTGCAGGACACTCGGCTATAAATAACACAGGGCATTAATTATGCTCAATCATCCCCCCTTTTGTAACTTTCTGCATCGGCGTATGCAATTCATTCTATTGTCAGTACACATGCGTCTAAACAGAGGAATTGCTCCGACCTGTGATTGGAGGATAAAAATAGACCACGCCCACTTTTCCATTTTTGGAGGATAAAAATAGAATTCGTGACGTTTCGTTTCACCGGTCATAGCCGCGCGTGCATATTTGCTAATTAATTCGACTAATCGCGCTTCAATAGATTCAAAATTCACAGAGATTAAGGCTAAGACATGTGTCTATAATAGCTAGAATTTATAGAAATGTAACTCAAATCGTTCGCTCCATATGATAGTTAGTACACGTCCCTACACGTCATAGCATAGCGTATGCGGCGGGAGTGGGCGGGGTCTATTTTTATCCTCCAATCACAGGTCGGAGCAATTCCTCTGTTTAGACGCATGTGTCAGCACAAGGTGGTTAGACTGCGACTCCTGCTGCATATTAGCATCATCGGCGTGCTAGGACGAACTCCTATGCAGCATTCATCACCAGTAAACGCTCGAGAATGAACCGCCATTACACATTTGCCGAGACGAATCACGACGACAGAACATAAACTCATAACTTAGTAAGGCACCTTAATGGAATCAAAGAGCCTCTAATTAGCGAGGCACAACAAATCGAACAGTTACAACTTCGATATAACCAAGCGCGTACTGTTAATAAATATCATACATTAGAACTGGTTCCCTAACGCAGTTTTTTTTGGCGAAAAGTCACTACAATAACACACTTCGAGCTTAACACGTCGGGTGTAAATATGCATGAAACGATAGCCTGATATTACTAATTAAATAAAAATGATAGTTGCCACTGCCATTAGAGATCTGCCCATCCATTATCGCGAAATATCCGTTCCCTGGGGAAATTCTCCCGACAGGCACAGTTCCTTATGACTTTCTGGACTGCCACCCACCACGTGTGATATATATCTATCCATGTTTTAGAGTGACACCCTTGCAAAGTATCCGCGTATGGCAGCATCACACGCATGATCGTGATGAATGTGTCTTGGAGTGTAACCGGTATATGCATACAGTTCCGAGGCAGTACGTTCTACTTTCGCTTCGACGGCAATGTCCCTATAAGGGAAGACCTAGGAGCAAAAAAAGGAAATAATATAAAACCAAATGAGTGCAAACTGAAAACGAATCACAGAACTTATTCTCTCCTATCTACTCGTCACCGCAACTTTTGAACCGCATTCACTGACACCAACTGCATTTCGAATGTATTCACCAACACCTCTGTATTATTTTATAGCATATAAATTTAATTTCCAGCATAAAACTTCATTACATCGTTAGTTCAATCTTATGCCTACCTTGGTACATTAAATTAGAGATGGATAATGTTGTCATTTCAATCATACCCAACTTAACCTTCCTTCTTAATCGCACTTCAGTAGTTGAACACCACTCAGCCACTAGCTAATTCAATGAGTAAGTAACAAACTACTAGTGGACTAACACCCTACTGTCGCATTTACTGTGAAAGCAGCTGCGTGGCCTCAGGTTACATAAACGGAGATAGGCACCACCCTATGCCTATGTGCCACATAGGCATGGGCAGGGATTACTTAAAAGTAATAAACAGCTGGCTGTGAGAGTGTGATACCTACCGTGGGGATCCCCCTCTCTGACTCTCTCGATCTGCCTCCTTTTGACTGATGATGATGCCTTTCTGAAACACCGTCTTACTCAGCTTCATCACCCACCGTTGCTGTTCCTCAACAGTGGAAGCCATCAGCAGCAGTTCTTTCGCACGATTCTCGTAGTTCACTGAAATATGGAGATCGCTAGATGTTAAGCATTTTTCGGAACGTATTTTCCCCGAGAGATCAGCATCAACGTCAATCGTGATCATTCCATCGACCAGCTATCATGACTCTGACACTTTACTATAGTTATATTAACGCAGGCCCCTTCCATCAACGACAACCCTTACACTAGTGATCTATGTTTGTGATCCGTGACGATGACACATGCACGCACGCACGCACGCACGCACGCACACACCCAACCACCCAGTCTCCCATCACACACACGCACCCATCACACCCACGCACCTCTGCAGGGAGCGACGACCTCCTGCTTGCGGTCCATGTGGTCCTTGTGTATCTTCACGTGGCAGCGACTGCACTCGAGCGCCGGCGGCGGCTTGAACATGTGCCACAGCGGCTTGCTGCACGCCTCGCACGGCGTCGGCATGTGGAAGAACACAGGCACAAAGTCGTGGCCCTTGTGCGCGACGGCCGACTGCTCAACAAAAGAACGTTCTCGTTAACGGCGGCGCGCGAACGAACGCCGACTAGGGTTTTTCGTGAATCAAATATTTTTCCGTTAACAAGGGCGCAAAGTCGTGGCATTTGTGCGCGACTGCCGACTGCTCGCGCGTCGATCGCGGCGGCAGAAACAACAGAACGTTCTCGTTAATGGCGGCGCGCAGATAAACGCGAATTGATTTTTTTCAGTTAACTTTTTTTTTACAAAGCGGCATGCGTAGCGATCGCGGTGCATCAATGATCGATGATTCAAAGTTTACAAACGTTGCTTTACGCTTACACTGGCACCTCACCGAGACCGGTTTTCACGAGCGCGGAGTTAGAACTGCTATTAGTTAGACACGTCGTCCGCTAGACGACAGATAGTTACAGCGCTAACGCTGGAGCGACGCGGGCGTGACGACAACCGACAACTTTTCCGTAGCACAGTTCCGTATCGCAATCTATGTCTCTACGTCGCGACGTCGAACTGTGCTTTCGCAATAATAAAAAAAAACAAAGAACGAATTGTGAGAGTGACCTCTATGTTGCGAATGGAACCGCGCTTTCGCAACACTACAATAGCTTACGGGATCCTTAGGGTTCGTGATCTCCGGCGGCGCGTTTTCCACCGGTTTCACCGCCTCTCCCTCCGACGCATAAAGAATCTACCGACAAAAAAAACGAAAACGCTGCCGACACCAGACGAAGCAAGATGGCCGACAAACAGCACAGCAAAGCGCAAAATGATGAATGCCCCCAAAAATAAGTCGTTTCACGTAATTAGAGGCTCTCCGAATCCATAAACAGACGGACACTTTCATATATCTTTAGGATGAAACCGTCTAGGTAACTAACAATAAGCGAGGTTTCGTCAGAACTTTTACCGACTTGCAACTACAGTATATGTCCGAGATGTGTACGAATTCATATAGTAGGAAAATTGAGAATATAGTAAAAAAATATATACCTGGAATATTTTCGGTATGTCTTTGACTTCGGCTCTAATGACATCTCCCTGAGAGACTGCCCTCACATGAAACATTTTACTGGAGAGTAAACAACAACCGAAACGTCAATTTCTAATTCGCGTGCAATCACGAACGATTCCTATTTCCCAAATAACTTTGACCACTTCGTAACTTCACTACTTAAAACAGAAATACCAGACACGATCAGAACTTTAAATCTTTTAACACTTGGCGCATCTACTGGCAATTTAACGAAAACGATTTTCCATTTAAAAGAAAAATCTAGACACCATCAGAACTTCGAACCCTTTAACACCTAAACATCCGACGCACCTACTAGGAATTTAACGAAAACGCGTCTGTAGAGCCTATACTTCTAAGCGCCACATCGGGGGAAGGGGGGGGGCACTGTGGACATTTTAAATTAAGGGTCGATGGCGCATCTACCCCTCGTTAGTTACGCAGGTCAGTTAGGCATGTCTATGGTTGGCCATCGAACTCAGAAATAATTTTACCACGGTTAAATTATAGCCCTTTTACCCAATCAGAGGCCTTGTTAAACATTATTAAAAAAAAAATTTCTTTATTTAACTGTAGATAAATTATTTTATGCAACAAGGCCTCTAATTGGGTAAAAAGGACCATAATTTAACACCGCGGTTGAATCATTTCTACAGGGGCGAAAATAATTACTTCCGAATTTGACGGTCAACCGTACACGATCCTGTATTGTACTATAAGGGCCGACGACGTATCCCCCTCATGGTTAGATACGTAGGCCAAGTTAGGCATGCCGATCGCCACTCACTGCAGGTCGAGGATGAGGACGGGGTCGGAGTTCTGCCGGTCCTCGTTCGAGTTGTAGAAGAACAGCTTGCGGCTGCTCACGATCACGTACTGCCTCTTCCAGCCGTGCTTTCGCAGGTTCTGCTTGTTGGGGATGGCCAGCCAACCCTCCAGCGGGTTCTCTGCGGAACACAGTCGACGCGTTTCAGACAAGAGACAGCGGTAACGCGTTTAAGACAGGCGACAGAGGTAACACATTTGAGACGAGAGACAGAGGTAACACATTTGAGACAAGAGACAGAGGTAACGCGTTTAGGACAAGAGACAAAGGTAACACATTGAGACGAGAGACAGAGTTAACACATTTGAGACAGAGACAGAGGAAACACATTTAAGACAAGAGACAGAGGTAACACATTGAGACGAGAGACAGAGTTAACACATTTGAGACAGAGACAGAGGAAACACATTTAAGACAAGAGACAGAGGTAACACATTGAGACGAGAGACAGAGTTAACACATTTGAGACAGAGACAGAGGAAACACATTTAAGACAAGAGACAGAGGTAACACATTGAGACGAGAGACAGAGTTAACACATTTGAGACAGAGACAGAGGAAACACATTTAAGAGAGAGAGAGAGAGTTAACTTAGCTGATATGCCACAGTTCGTAGACACAAAGAGAAAGAGGGGAAGGAAGATGGGTGTGAGGGAGGAGGTAGAGAGAGGGGAGAGAGGGAGAGAAGGGAGGAAGGAAGGAGAGGAGGGGAAGAGAGGGAGAGAGAGGGAAGAGAGGGAGAGAGAGGGCAGGAGAGATGGAGAGAGGGGGAGAAAGGGAGAGGAGAGAAGAGAAAGAAGAAGAGAGAGAGAAGGAGAGAGATGACGCTGAGAGAGAGAGAAGGAGAGAGTGAG